CACGTATTTGTAAAATCTAAGTGACTCGTACAACACGGAATTCATATAAAACGGAAAAATTAACAGTGTTATAGGGGGTCGACTTGTAGTACATTATTGGATTCTTGCAACGTCTTAACAGTGATTGTATTGTTTTTATCTCGCGGAAAGAAAGAATATGGAAAACAAGGCTTAATTCATACCTGATCTCGGAAAAACCGCTGTTTCTTGATGGCTTTGACAGCGATTGTTCTGTCGGTACTTTTAGACCGACCCACATAGACTGTGCCAAAGGATCCTTTACCTATTTCTTGAATTTCGTACTTTTCTTCTTTATTTGTTAAACCTTCAGGTCCAAATTGAAATTCTCCCGATTCGAACTTCTACGATTATAAAATATTTTGGTTGCAAAGTTCGTTAATTGAAAAACAGAGAAAAGCAAAGAAACTCGAGTGTTACCGGTGAATCGAAAGTTTCTCCTTTTACGCAAAAACAGCGCAACAGTTTACAAAATACACTTTTGAAAAACTGTTTAATTCCTCCAATTTTCTTAGGTTTGTTCACCTGCAATGGCGAATCTCTTTTGTAAGCGGAGAAACACTCATTGGCAGGCGAATCATAGACATTCTACGGAAAGCCAAAATAATAATATTTGTTACTCTTAATGCATATTTCAAAATCGGGTAAAGACTTGTTAATTGAGTTTTAATAAAAAAAATTCATTAATGAAATTGAATAACTTACATTATTAATCCAATAATTTTGATTTTGCTGACCGTCCGGTTCAGCGCCATCACTTCCATTATAACTAAATTCATGAAATTTTACATAAATATAAAGGAAATGTCATTCGTAAACATTGCTTTTGATTAAATTTACCTTTTTCTCTTCATTTTCTCACTAGAAAATCGCAAACGAATACTTTCTAAAGAACGCTCCATTACGCTTCAACAATTGAAACAATTGGAAATTGTTACATCGAGAACATTGTTGAAAAATGACATTAAAATTAATGTTTATAATGAACTAGTAAATGTATGGACATAGATAATGATATTNATTGTTACATCGAGAACATTGTTGAAAAATGACATTAAAATTAATGTTTATATAAAAGTTTTTAATACACGTAATTTAATATCAAAGATAAACAATTATGAATTTTGAATTGTTAGGAATAAAAACAAATGATGAGAACGAGAATGTCATTACAGTTGCTGTAAAAGTCGAGGTGTCACATCTTTTTTCAAGGATCAAAGAATGCAAAAAAATTTTAATTAATTATACAAATTAATTTCAATTTATTTTCAATAAAATTTAATCACTATATTGATAACACATTCAATATTTGTACTCTTTGTATAATATTTGACTCATATAAAATGCACCGAATTCTTCGTTTTTCAAAGCCATAAGTCAGTATTTTTTCTTTTTTATTTGACTTTTTCTTTATTTGCAGTTTTCTGGTCTTTCGCTTTATTTTTGGGATTTTTAATTTTGGAAATTATCTTGTAATCTTTTCTCACAGGGAATTGAGGTTAGAATTTCTTTTTTTTTTCATTTTTTTCATTAACAAACTGCTGTTGTTTTACTAAAATTAAGGAGTTTTGTTTAAATATTTTTTGTAAATTACTTGAAGTTAACATCATAGATTTAAAAAGGAAAACAAAAACTACTGATATAGATGTTATAAAATATTAATTGCCACCATCGAACAGCTATTGCAAAGGCAAGAACCTTTAATATTGCGCAGACAAAACACTGAATGCACCTTCATATATTAATATCTTCTTTCAGATTTACCTGAATACACGTCAAAATTTGTTGGCTTACGTGCCTTACTTAATTAAACTGCCACGGTAATATCTGCGAATAGATACTGTTTAAGTACTGGTAAGTGTTTGGTACTAGAAGAACTTCTCTAAATAAATATTCAAGCTTAAATTATCTATGCATATAACAACACGAATCTTAAAAGACGGTAGAATTTGGATGTATTGAATATATCATAGAACTTGGACTTCGGTCTTGGGCATGTATTGATCAATCACCAATGAGCCAGTGGCACCTTCTTATCAGGAGGCAGTAAAGTTTCGTAGGAATGTTTCAGTCACGTTGCCTCACTTTCTTAGTTTGGCCAATTTTCCATTGAGCATTTGTGTGATTCAGTTTTTACCATATCCACGGATTCATTCGCTTCCATTATTTGTAATGTGAAGATGAATTATGGTTTTAAGTGATTTTGTGCATTCGGCGTGTAGAAAAATCTATGTTCAGGATTAGCATATAGTCTATGTATGCCTCCAGACTTCTTATATCGCCTCATTATCTATGCAAGAGGAGATCTTAGAAGATATTAATGCAGGCCTGACATACCAAAATCCGGCCTCTTTGACTATTCACAATTCATTAATGCAAAGGAGAGTGAAACGTCTCGATCAGATTTAGTAGAAAGTCTACTAACTTGGTAACACTGGATACATTATGCTTTCTTTAATATACTGTTCCTAAACTGCCAATCCCTAGGATGCCCTGAGACAAAGTGGATAGTTACTAATAATGTGTATCTGGTGGAAACTATTACATTTAAAATTTCATACACGTGTGCTTAAATCTATATATTTATTAAAATTATCAATAATGATGTACGCATTTTAATCGTGTGAAACAGAAATACCTATGATGAATTTCACTATATGAATAATATAAACTTTAATTGAGAAACACTACAGTATTTCCATTATCCAGTTCAAAAATAAAGAATAGCAACAAATTAATAGAAGTGACACATACGATTTATAAAACTAACTAACTAACTAATTAATAGAAGTGATTTTAGATACAAGTAATTCTATTAATTTATAAAACGTACGATTTATAAAACTAACAAAAAAATGCTCAGGTCAAATTATATGTATAATAAGAACGAAGGCCATAAAATGTCCAACAAAATCAATAATTTGAAGACAATAGTGTTGACTGTAAAAAGTACTAGATGGAAACAAATGATTCTTCAGTGCTAAAATTATTCAATTATTACTAAAGTATTATTTTCAAAGCCTTTATTTATTTGTGTTTATGGAGTAGATCATAGAGAATCATATCAGCAGCCTTCTCCCCAATCATGTAAGTTGGAATGTTTAGCTGTCCCGTTACCACAAATGGCATTATCGAAGCGTCTGCTACTCTTAGTCTTTCTACACCTTTAACTCTGAAAGAAATATAAAAGAATTACAGTAAATATGTAATAACTTTAACTGTAAAAATCACAGTTGTATTTGAAGAATACATTGAAGACATCTTCAATGTAGTCTTCAAATGTTTCTGTTCCCATCTACCATCCTGAATTTAATTTCTGGATGGTTCACATATTACTTGATGATCATTGTTTTTCGCATGTAGCTGACAACAATTGTAATTACTTTATTAGTTTGTTACAAAAATTGTTGTGTGATTTCTTAATGTTTTTCAATCAATAAAGTATGACTATTTTCATATATATGAAGTACACAAAATACTTAAGTTAGGCGCAATTTGATTCGCCAATTGAAAAGTTGGTTTAAAATTTTTTATAACCGAATTCAGTAGCACACAAGATTATAATGGCAGATCTTAATTTTGTAAGCTTAAAACATTAATAGTATTATTGTTAATTATATGTTAAATAATAAATATATTTATGAGTTTCTAAGAAGACTTACTTGAGCGTTGGACCAACCACAGTTGTGGGATTAGTATCACTTCCCATTTTACACGTTCCACAGTAATGGTATATTGTAAATGGAAGTGTTGTTGCTACACAAGCGAGATATTCGTCACTGAATCTCTTGTAATGTTCGCAGCCGGGGACACTGACTGGAAGCGGATATACTCCAAATTTTCTCATTGCTTCCGTTGATGCCATTTTCAGGCAGTATTTCAATCCTGAATATTTACTAATTAAGTGAATCTAAACAAAATGTAAACTTTTATCAGAAAAACTTATATATATTTTACCTTCAACAGCAATTTTTAAGTCGTAAGGATTCGAAAAAAAATTGAAATCGATGAGAGGATCGTCATGGGTATCGTTAGATCTGATGGTAACCAATCCTCTACTTTTCGGACGTGTAGGATATGGAAAACATGATATTGTGTCAATCGATGTAAAGGGTTCGAACATTGTCTTCCATACCTGAATAATAATAACAGATTTAATTAATTTAACTATAAGCAGAACGTTTATCAAACAAACATTTAAATGAATTTTAGGAAGTTACTCGTCAAAAATTTTTTGCATTACGTCAGTGCACAGTAGCAAATAAATAAATCTCTTATGTTTGTTTGCCACTGTGTATTACTGATTTATTTTCTATATATGTGCACTGTTTTACCTCATCCATCCCGATAAACTCCATCCGAAGCAAAAACCGATATAATGGCCTTAATTGCTCCTTGACATATTTTCTACAACGATCTGGTGTTTTGTCATAATCAATATATTCCTTTTAAAATATAATATTATCCACTACGAAATATTTTTTGTAGAAATTTAAATTTACATTATATTTTATATAGAAATATTAGCCATTAATTAAACATGTTTCAAATTGTATAAATATATTTATGTTGTTTAGAAAGTTCCTATGACCAATATAACTACTACTCCCTTGTACAAGTTTCTCTAGATGAATTAATACTTATTCGATTTATTCATTGATTGATTATATCTCTTATACAAACTGTCCCAAAAGTTTTCTTACATACAAATGTAAGGTGCAACTTTATTCACAAAACATTAAAATATCAGTATTAAGATTTGTGTCAGTGGATTGACTGAGTAAGGCAACAGAATACTAGGTGATCTGCCAATGGGACTTCCTTTCGGTGTTAGACACATGAAGAAAACACAGAACATTGCACGGTGGCCAGCCCGTTGGTCAGGCACGAAACAATGATCAACTACCAATGTTCAATGCTTTTATTTATTCGGCCTCTGGTGGGCTTGATCTGTGTCACTGTATGGAGTCTTTTGGCACATCTAGTATGTGTCTGACACTGGCCACAGTATGAATACACGCTACAGTTAATTCTATCTTACATTTGCACAATTTACTCGTAACAATTTAATATCCTAATTTAATAATTTAATAAATTAATAAGTCCTAATTAAACTTAATCCATTTCGGAAGTTAATTAATTTTTTAAATAACGAATACTTTAACTGGATGTGCAAAAAATCCATTGTTTACGAAATAACGAATTCTCATACAACGAATGATTTTCGACAGCCCGGGTGATCCGTTAAAACATTTTATTGTATATTGCAGCTGAACATCTAAAACTCAGTTAAAACTCTAAAATTTTTGTTTTATTTTTAATTACTAATTAGATTTTATACTTTTATCTCACTGATTATAAAAGGTTTACTGCTAGACAAGCCAATCAAAAAATTTTTACGTATTAATTGCAATATACAGTGTTTCGGAAATGATCTTTTACCAATGCGAATCATTAACAAAGTGCATCATTTTTCTGTTAATTAATTAAGAATTTACCCATTCCAACTTAGCATACTTCTATACGATTTTAATAAAAGAAATTAATAAAGAAAATATAATTAAAAAGTAAATTAAACTGAAGGCATAAATGTAGAATATACTTACTTCTTCGTTTAGGTTGAACACACGTCTTAAAACTGTTCCATTATCAGATGCGGGTGATAAAGAAAGCCATAATAATTCAATATCTGGCCAATCAGGATCGTTATTATATTTAGAATTTACAAATCCAATCGTGTCAATTCCTCCCAAAGATGTCAGTGGACCTAAAAAAGACAACAATTAATAAATTTAAATCAATAACAGGATCGTCATGAGTATCGTTAGATCTGATGGTAACCAATCCTCTACTTTTCGGACGTGTTGGATATGGAAAACATGATATTGTGTCAATCGATGTAAAGGGTTCGAACATTGTCTTCCATACCTGAATAATAATAACAGATTTAATTAATTTAAC